AGAAAGAAATAGTTCCTTAAGCAACATTTGTCATCACAGAAGTTAGATCCTTTCCTACCTAAACTTTTCATAATATCCTCTTTAGAAATCAACATTTGAGAGTATTAGGGTAAAATACAAGTATGTATTTATTTGAGAACAACCTTAGTTTTGGTTCTTATAAAATATTATTGAGCTGTGGTGCATCTGAAATCCCAGCAGCTTAGGAGGCTGAGGCAGGAGGATCAAGAGTTCAAAACCAGTCTTAGCAAAAGTGAGGCACTAAGCAACTCAGTGGGACCCTGTCTCTAAATAAAATACAAAATAGGGCTGGGGATGTGGCTTAGTAGTTGAGTGCTCCTGAGTTCAACGCSGGTACCAAATAAATAAATAAATAAATACTGATTAGGACCAGCATATAAAATTTGTTTATCCCATTTGAGATTTCTTAAAACCAATCTGTTAGGACAAAAATCTTTTATTATACATCATCTAAAATATCCAGTATTACCATACTATTTTTGGAAACACAAATTGGTACAACCAATTTGTGGGCAACTGAATTGATATGTAAAATAAAATTTAAATACACATACTCTTTGAGTGATTCCATTTCTAGAAAGTACAGAAATACTTAAATAAGAGAATCAAGACTTTTACATAAAAGYTGATAACAGAATTATTTGGAACATGGAAAAGTAAGAGATGATGTGGAATTCATTAATGGAGGAATGATTAGATTTTAAATTAGATATGTAAAGTCATAGACTATCATATAGATAGTTTAAAAATAAGGTTGATTTATATAAACAAGCACAAGAATTTTTAGAATATCTGCCTCAGCAAAGAAAGCAGAATATAATATTCACTAGATCCAATATTCATTAAATATAGCACCCCCTCTTCAACTATAAACATGTATATACGTATACACACGTTGGTTTATGCATGCAAATGTATATGTATAGAGAAAGGTCTTGTATCCCATTCCTTGGCATAAACCCAAAGGACTTAAAATCAGCATACTGTAGTGAYGCGGCCACATCAATGTTTATAACAGCTCAAATCATAATAGCTAAGCTATGGAACCAACTTAGGTGCCCTTTGACAGATGAATGGATAAAGAAACTGTGGTATTTATACACAATGGAATATTCTCAGCCATAAAGAAGAATGAAATTCTGGCATTTGTTGGTAAATGGATGGAACTGGAGACTATCATGTTAAGTGAAACAWGCCAATCCCAAAACACTTAGACTGAATATTCTAATATGTGAATGCTAATTCACAATAGGTCAGCTGAGGTTGGGGTGGGGGAGTGGAGGTTCACCAGATTGCATGGAGGAAGTGGGAGGAAGGGGAATGGGTTGGGAATAGGAAAAGACAGAAGAATGAATCGGACATAACTTTCTTACGTTCATATATGAATACATGACCAGTGTAATTCCACATCATATACAACCACAAAAATGGGAAGTTATACACCATGTGTGAATGATGTGTCAAAATACAATCTACTGTCATATAAAACTAAAAAGAATTTTAAAAAAAGGTCTAGAAGAACACATTCTAAACTATCAGAGCAGTTATAGTTGGGAATGGAAATGGGGGAGAAGGATATGGGAGGACTTCTGCTTTTAATAACATCTTCACCCAATTTCTGTTTTTGACTTTTATAATTAATTAACCTTAAGAAAATGAAAAACTGGAAATAAATGAAATATGCTTCAACTGGGGAATTGTGATACATCCATACAATGGAATACTACTCGGCAACAAAAAGGACTAAACTTTATCATACATACAACATAGATGAATCTCAAACTCCTTATGCTAAGAGAAAGAGGTTAGACAAAAATTACATACTACAGATTCAACTTATGTGACATCCTGAAAAAGTAAAATCATGGGAAGAGAAAACAGACCAGTGGTTGCAAATGACAGAAGGTAGAAAGAGGATTTGACTATAAAGGGGAAGAAGAATTCACTAAGTATAAACCGAACCTTAATAAAAAAWTTTTTTTTAACTGAAGAACACAAATTTAAAAAATATGATACAATTTTAAACAGACTTCACAAAAAGTTTAGGATAGATTCTCCCTTTTCATTTTTTATATTAAGGTAAAATTCACTGTGAACCCTTGTGTGAGTTGTAACAAATGCATACAGTTGCTTAAGTGCCACCACAATGAAGACAAGAAGAGTCCATCAATGCATCCCCCACCCCAGTGGTTTTTCTAAGTGGTATCCAATGCCAGATACAACACAACCTATCTGTCCATTCACCTGTTGATAGACATTCAGATTATTTCTAGTTTTTGGTTATCACAAACAAAGCTGCCATGAAGAGTTATGTGTAGGCTTCTGCAATACATATTGTGGACACTGGTGACTTGAACCATGGTCTCTCATTCCCTCATGGCTGCATTTACACTGGGAGCTGCCTGTCCAAAAGTGCAGGTTCAGATGCCCCAGTTGTTATGGTAACAGTAGCCACAGCAGGCTAAGTGCAAAGGTGCAGCTCTAACAGTTGGAACCTTGGATTCAGACACCAACTCCCAGGAAGATAGAGAATTCTAGACATAACAAGATGACCTTGATGTCTTATAAGTTTTGCTGTATCCTCCAGGCTGCCTGCTTTGCTAAAACTTCCTCACAAATAACATTCTGATGACAAACCTATATAATAAACGTGCTGAGCTGGCTCTGGTGTTAGTCAAGCCTCACTAGGGCTCGGCTTTCCCACTATGGCCCAGCTTTTTCTCTATATGTGAGTGAGTGGCTTTTCTTCATCTCCTCCTGGCCCCTCCAGTTTCTGAAATGATGTCGTGCTGGTCCATAGCAACATATGCTTTTATTTATCTTGGGTAAACAGATGTGAATAGGATGGCTGAATCTTACGAGGTATATATTTGGATTAAAGAAAAACTTCCACACAGTTTTCCAAAGTAGTTGTACCATTTTACATTCTTATTTTGTTATTTTTTTCTTTATTGATTGTGTTTTTGATCTTATACCACAGGTGTCCCAATAAATCCTTTTCTAACCATAGAAAATGCTGTTCGCTCCGCTCTCATTAAAATGATGTTCTACAAAGATAGATTCTAAATTAAACCTATTGGTTTTAAGTTTTAACTGATATTTTAACACTTTAGATCTAAACTGTTCCTAATAATTATTCTCCATCTAAACATTCTCCAACAGTGAAAAAAATTACAACCTTGGTTGAATTTCCATTCTTAGAAACAAAACTCCCTTCCACTTGCTCAGGATCTTAATGAGGGATTCAGCCTCCTTTTCAAGCTAACATTCCTTCCCCACTCTCACTAGCAATCTTCTTGGGGATGATCCAACCCTAAGGCCTTCTATTTCCTCACTTTCTAGTTACTTTTTTTTATTCCTTTTTTTTTTTTTTKTWTGTRTGTGTGTGTGTGTGTGTGTTTACAGTGCTGGGGACTGAACCACCCAGGGCCTTGCTCATGCTAGGCAAGTTCTATCATGAACTACACATTCTCTGCTCCCTGCACTTTAAAAATTTTGTTTTGACACAGGGTCTCTCTAAATTACTAAGCCTTGACCCTCCTGCCTCAGCCTCCTAAGTAGGTGAAATTACAGGTGTGCACCATTGTACCTGGATCCTGTTCTTTTTAAAAGAATACTTACACTGAAATTTTAATGGATACAAAAAGAGAATGTTGTCCTGTCATCAACCCACTTTGACTATGACCAGTACCTAGCTCATCTTGTTTCATCTATGTCCCTCTCTTTTTCCTCCTTCTGTTAAATTATTTCTAAACCAATACCAGATATATCATTTCACCTGCAATACTTCCGAATGTATCTCTAAAACAGAAGGAATTTAAAATATAAAGGAATTTAAAATATAAACATTGTACCATTATCATATCTCAAGAATTATTCTCATCTAACATTCGTCATTAGATTTCTGTTTCCTTGATTATCTTAAAAATGCTTTTAGTGGGCTGGGGATGTGGCTCAAGTGGTAGCRCACTCGCCTGGCATGYGTGGGGCACTGGGTTCGATCCTCAACACCACATAAAAATAAAGATGTCGTGTTTGCCTAAAACTAAAATAAATAAATAAATAAGTATTTTTAAAAAATGTTTTTAAAAATTTCACTTAAATCATGATCCAAGAAAGGCCATATGCTGTCCTGGTTGACATGCTTAAGTCTTTCATAACTGACACAGAGCTTTCTCTCTCAAGTTTTCCCCGCTCCCTTTGCCTCACTCACACTTTTTTGGTTTATTTGTTGAAGACACAGTCCTATGTTTCCAGGTCTGAACTTTGCTTACTGTAACCTCTCTTACCTCAATAGGGTCATTCACATGTTCCATTTTAATGAAATTCCCTGTAATTGGTAGTTAGGTTCTGAGGCCTCATGGGTGGTTTGTGTCCATCCAACAGCAACCAGGTACCCTCTGGTAGTCTTTCTTTCTGTGATATTAACAGCTACTGATGACGATTTCTAGATCATTAGATCACGGAGGGACTACACAATGGCAATATTCCAGTTCTGTCMTTCTTTCTGAACATGTTGTTAGGTGGACTCGTTCCATGAGAAACTCCCCTTCATCTTTATTTGGTACTTTGATATACAGTTCAGAGAGGAAAGGCAGAATAAATACTTGATTCTTCTTCATTTACTAGTTTTCACAAAAACGAGTTCATTCCCTAGCATTTTCCAAAGTTAATCAATAAGTTCCTGTTTTTCCTCTTGTATCATTATGAACTCTGGGATTTAAACATATCAGATCTATTCTAATCGATTGCAGTTAGTATCCTTCTGCAGGCTCAAGGGAGAGCCCCTCTGAGGTGGTTTCTGACAGTTCTRGCCCTATCAAATATATAACCCCAGTCATTTTTTAAAGCACTCGGGATTTTTTATAAGTTATGATATTCTCAGACTTATATATTTTCAGCCCCAAATCTGAAATGAGACATTTTTCTGAGGAATCTGGTTCCTTTTGATGAGAAATATCATTTATACACCATGACCTGGGTAGCGATACTATTGCTAAAATGGTCACTGTTTCTTGTCCTTTCCATTGGGCAGAGCAAGGAAATATACTTTTTCAAAGATTAAAAACAACATTCTGACAATTCCAAGTTGAATTTAGAAATATAAGGCTCTCACTTAAGTTGATCAATATTACATCTACATTTCCTTTCCTCAAGAAGACGTATTCTTTTTTTCTCATTTTTTAATATTTCTTTTAGTTGTCAATAGAATTTTATTTTTATTTATTTATATGTGGTGCTAAGAATTGAACCCAGTTCCTCACACATGCCTGGCAAGCATTCTACAACTGAGCCCCAACCCSAACCCAAGAAGCCTCATTCTTAAGAACACCCATTGTTATTAGTCATTTTTAATGTCATATTACATACTATGTAACAAATATTTTCCATTGASTAGAAAACCTTAAGGCAAACAAAACAGGTTTTCCCAGTGTCAAAAAAGGCATAATATTGTGTTTTTCAAGATTATTACAAAAGTCCACTTGGTAAATACTTAGAATTCTGACTGATTTACATAATAAGAATTAATATTGACCCTTTCCCCTCCTCCTCTTACCAGTTCTGCAAAATCTGCGGCCTCCAGGTCACTTAATGCTGTGTCTAGTTCCATCTATGTTTAAAAAAAAAAAAAAGAGTAATAAACATTTGACTCCTATTAGTTACTTGTTTCCTTTGCTGTGGTGGACACATAAAAAGTGCTTAATTATTACTTAAAGAATTGAGTAAGGCTCTGTATGCTTTGTTTACTTAAGAAATGTCTCAAAATGGAACATCTTATTTTTAAATTTTCCAACTACAATGACATTAATTTATTTAATGTATGAGCCTTTTTCAAGTAAATCTTTTTTTAAAATATTATTTTTAGTTGTCAATGGACCTTTATTTATTTATTTTTTTAATTTACACGCAGTGCTGAGAATAGAACCCAGCCTCTCACATGTTAGGCAAGCACTCTGCCACTGAGCCACAACCCTAGCCCCTCAAGTAAATCRTAATTATTAAGATGTAATAATATAAAACAATTTATGAGGTAAAAAAATCTTTTCAGTTTTAGCTCAGAAACAATTTAATCCATTAATTTTTTTAAGAAAAATGAGAATGATAATCAATATTAATGCAGCCAACCTATTTTTGTTTTTCTATTTCCTGTATATTTCTCAACAGTGGTGTTCTTGGAAAATGCCAACATTTTTCCTGTCTCTTTCTGGTACACAATGTTTTGAATACAAGGATTGTCAATCTTTATTCATAGATTAAAACATGAAGGCAAGAGTACCCCTGGAATCTGGCACAGTACTGAATACCCTACTGAGTTATTAGAAATAAATCTTTTGCATAGATTTGGCTTTTTTTTCTACAGAAATTAACTGAACTTTGCCCTAAAGCATTCAAAGTTTAAAAACAGAGCATGTTTGACCTGTAGTTCAGTCTGTAATGTRTATGTATGTGTATATGTACAAACTGAAAAGTACAGGCAATCGAAGTTTGCAGTATACACACTGTACGTGAATAAGAATGTTTTCTTTCTTTCTTCTCTTTTTTTTTCTTTTCTTTTCTTTTTTTTTTTTTTTAAGGCTGAGACATTCTCTGCAGGACTTTTTCACACACCATGTCCTACTGAGATGACAAAAGCCTTTGAAACATTGGTCACAGCTTTCAATGCATTTCACACAGTAATGACCTATTACTCATTTGTGATCTACATTTTCTGCATCTAACGAATGCTTTTTTTTTTTTTTTGACTATAGTCTATTTTGTGGAAAAACTATAGGACAAAGAAATTACAGATTTGTAATTTTTGACCTGAGCAACTGTTTAATGAGTTACCATTCCTGCTGCTGAACTCTGCAGGCTAATACACAGGGTTATCATAACTGCTTCTTCATTATCATGAGAACAAGTAAAACACCTATTCTTTTAGCTATTCCAGTGTGTTCAAGGAAAACATATTTAAAAAGAGAGTTATCTAACAAATGAGTATATTCTCAAATGCTTGAAAAATAAAACTATAAATGAGACTTCATCATATACTAAACTCAAAACAAATAAATTATATCCAAGTAAAAATAACTATTCTCACTGAAATCTGATGAGCACAAGTTACCTCATACACGTTTTTAACCAGAGTACTTCAAGACATTAAATTCCTTAGTATTTTCCTTTAGAAGATACATAGTCAATACAATACTACTCAAGACAGGAAAAAAAAATCTCAAAGAGAAAAAGTATATAAGTTCTTTCCGTTTTCTGGTAAAAAAAAAAAAAAAAAAATCCTTGTGGACTCTTGGTTTCTGGTTACACACATAAAGAGCCTGAAGCTGCCACTCTGTCATGACAAGTAATTTTTGACGTGAGAAACTGTTTAATGAGTTGCCATTCCTGCTGCYGAACTCTGTAGGCTAATACACAGGATTAAAGCAGAACAAGGTCAATAACTTGTCCCCTATCAGTCTCGTCTCTGTGAGACAAGAAAGAACACAGAGAATGCCGCCCCAGGGCTGGGGAGATGGGAACTCAGCGGCTCATCACTTTCCAGAACAGACTCATAAGCAGGAAGTGCTAAAAGGCCCAGTGCCAGGACAGGAAAACCCGGACCATGGCAAACGGCTGGAGGCTCCATGTGGGCAAGTCYGAGACTCAGAAACTCCAGCAGGACTCAGTCTTCAGGGACCTGCAGGCTTGTAAGTTTTTCATCAGGAGTAAATAYTGGGGGGAAAAAGTCCTCTCATGATTCTAGCAGGAGGAGGAGGAAAGAAACACTCCAGAATACTCCGGAACACTCTACTCTTCTTAACAAAGCCTGTCCTCCAGAGAAGATAGTTAATATACCCTAACCTTCTGGGATGTCATCAGACCTTCAGGAAAGTTAACTGACCTTCAGGAAAAGACATCCAACTACAGTCAGCAATAGCCTTCCACATCGTAGAAGAAAAACCCTGTAACCTTATACATGGGAAAGGAGAAATACCCAATTCAAGCTCATTCCAGMCATCCTGTCCTACCTAATTGGGAGAAAAAAGAAACATTTGTGAAGCTCACAATCCAAAGGCTGCTGGCAGAAAAGCCTACCAAATAACAGAATACAAAACGAGAACAAAAAAACAGGGCAGTAAATAGAAAGTAGTAACAAATATGGTGCTCATTAATCTACTAGACTGATAATCACACAGGGTTCAAAGAGAAATTCTCAAGAGAAGCTTACAAAAATTATTTTTTCCAGAGCTCCACACATACTTTGCAAGCACTCTACCATTGAGTTATATCTCCAGCTCTCAGGAGCTTGAACTAAATGATAATGGTATCATAATTTATCAAAATTTGTGTGATGCAGCAAAAACAGTGCTCAGGGGAAATTTTTTATATCAACAATCTAAATTAAGAGACTAGAAAAAAGAAGAGCAAATTAAATACCCATACAAAAAGCAGAAGTAATAAAAAGTTAGAGCAGAAAGCAATGACAATGAAAACAGGAAAGTAAAAGAGAAAATCAATGGAAACCAAAGCTGGCTCTTTGAAAAGATCAATGACATCATTAAGCGTCTAGTCAGGCTAGCAAAGGGGAGGAAATGACAAATAAGAGGATATCAGTACTAATCCCAGGGACATTAAGGAGATAAGAAAAGATACTATGAACAACTGTATGCTCACAAATCTGATAACCTAAATGAAATGGACCAACTCCTAGAAAGACACAGTCTGCCAAAACTGACACAAGAAGACACTCTAAATAGGTCTATATATTAAAGAAACTGAATCAATAATTAATCAATTTGCAAAGCCAGAATGTTCCAGGCCCAAAAAGTACCAGGCATAGATGGGTTTGCTGGTGAAATTCTACCAAACACTGAAGGAAGAAATTATACCAATTCTCTATAGACCCTTTAAGAAGATAGAAGCAGGAAGACAGAAGAAGAAATATTTTCTAGCTCTTTCTATGAGGTCAGCATTACCCTAAATACCAAAAGCATATGAAGGTATATAGAAAGGTATAGACTATCCCTAATTAATATAGATGAAAACCCCTCTACAAAATTTAGTAAGTATAATCCAAGAATATATAAAAAGAATTATACCACACAACTAAGTGGGATTTATCCCAGGGACACAAGGCTAGTTCAACATAAGAATACAATGAATGCAATTTATCACATCAATAGGCTGAAAAAGAAAAGTCACACGATTGTATCAACATATACAGTAAAAAAAAAAAAAAGAAAGAAAGAAAGAAAAAGAAAAAGAAAAAAATGTGACAAATTCTAACTTCCATTCATGGTAATAATTTTAAAAATCCTCTCAGAAAATTAGGAAAAGGGGGATTTCTTTAACTATCAAAACCCTACAGCTAACATCATGCTAAAGGGTGAGAGGTAAGACATTTCCTCATTCAGATCAGGAACAAGGCAATGATGCTCCCCATCACCACTCCTGTTCAACATCACATCACAAGTTCAAAAACAAAAGGCATACAGTTTGGGAGGGAAGGAGTAAAATGAACTTTCTTCACAGATAACATGATCTTCCTGTGTAGAAAACCTGAAAGAAATGACCAAGCCTGGGGGAAAAAACATCCTGGAGCCCCTGAGTGATCACAGAAAGGTTACGGGATCAAAGGTCGATATACCACAATCAGCTGCCTTCCTGTAGAATTTGYTAGTAAAGACATACTACTCTTTCATTAGCACCCTCCCAAAATGAATTACTTAGAAATCTGATAAAATATGTACAAGATCTATATGAGGAAAATTATAATACTTGATGAACCAAATCAAAAAAGAACAAAATAAATTGAGAGAGTCCATAGCCAGGAAGGCTCAATACTGTTGAGCATCATTTCTTTCCTACTTGATCTAGAGATTCTATACTGTCTCAACAAAAGTACCAGCAAGTTATTTTGTGGAAACTGACGAAATGATTCTAAAGTTTTTATGGAGAAGCAAAAGACCCAGAATAGCTAACACAACAGTGAAGGAGAACGAAGTCAGAGGGACTGGCACTCCTTCCTTCAAGACTTGCCACAAAGCTATGGTCATCAAGACCGTTCGCCAATAGAAAAATAGATGAATGGAACAGAACCAAGATCCCACAACAGATCCACATGAATATAATCAACTAATCTTTAACAAAGGAGCAAAGACAAGACAATGGAGCAAAGACAGTTGACAGTGTTCAACAAACATTGCTCAAACAATCAGACATGCACATGAAAAAGAAAAGAATCTGGACAAGACTTAATCTGGAGACCCTTCACCAAAGTTAACTCCTAAGTGGATCACAATATAATGTGTAAAGCAATAAAACTCCTAAAAGATAAAATGGGAGGAAAACTTACCTTGGGTATAGCAATGATTTTTTTAGATACAACAACAAAGGTATTATTGACTAACAGATAATTGACAAGCCACACTTCATTAAAATTAAGAGTTCTTACTCTGCTAAATACACCGCCAAGAGAATCACAAAATGAGACATAGACCTAGAGAAAATATTTGCAAAAGATGMATTTAATAAAGGACTGTTACCCAAAGTATAACATAGAACTCTGCAAACTCCATAAGAACACACACAAACCCACCAATAAATGGGCCAAAGACCTCAACAAATACCTGACCAAACAAGACGTGCAGATGGCAATTAAATGTATGAAAATATGCTCCCCATCATAAGTCATTAGAGAAATATAAATCAAGACAATAAGATGCCGCTGCACACCCAAAAGAATGGCCAAAATCCAGAAGCTGACAACACCACATTCTGGAGGGGATGCAGAACGGGGACCCTTCCCTGTGGCCGGCAGGAATGCACATGGCACAACCACTTTAGAAGATGGTTAGTCACTGTCTTACAAAACTAATATACTCTTTTTTAAAAAAAAAACATTTTGTTTTAATTGTAGTTAGACACAATACCTTTATTTTATTTTTATGTGGTGCTGAAGATCAAWCTCAGTACCCTGCACATGCTAGGCAAGCACTCTACCGCTGAGCCACAACCCCAGCCCTAAAACTAATATACTCTTTTAACTATTTGATCCAGCAGTTAAGCTCTTCGGCATCTACCCAGAAAGAACTGAAAACTCATGTCCACACCAAAACCTATACAAGAATGTTTATACTTGAAAGTAACCAAGATGTCCTTCAGTAAGTAAAAGGATAAATAAACTGTGATACATCTAAAGGAATATTATTCAACACTAAAAAGAAATGACCTATCAAGCCATGAAAAGATGAGGAGGAGCCTTAAATGCATCATACCAAGTGAAAGAAGCCAATCTGAAAAGGCTGCGTGCTCCATGATTCCAACTGTATGACATTTTTTTTTTATTGTTGGTCGTTCAAAACATTACATAGTTCTTAATACATCATATT